CCCGGGAGGCCGGGCTCACGGGGCAGGCGCTGAGCAGACCCGGACAGAGGCGCACAGCTGTCCCCGCCACACCGCCCTGGTTTCCAGGCCTGCCCAGTGTGTCCCAGGCTGTCCTGTGCGCCTCCTGACGACAGAGGGCGGCGAGGGTCATCTCTCGCTTGGGGCAGCCTGGCGCCCGGGCCCTGGGGCCCTGATGGCTACCTCCCCGCCCACAGGTGTGGATCCAGCTGCTCTACAGCACCTGCTTCTGGTGGCTGTTCTGCTACGCGGTGGACGCCTACCTGGTGATCCGGAGGTCGTCGGGACTGAGGTAGGCGGAGGAGGGGGGCCTGCTCTGGTGCCCTGGCCTCGGGAAAGGTGTGCCACCATTTAGCCAGGTCTCATCGCCAGACAGACACCTACAGCCTCACCGAGGACAGCCCCTCCCCTTTGAGCCTGACACCCACCTCGGTTGCAGGCCGATCCCTGGTCCAGTGCGGGAGGAGTGGTGCGTGCAGGAGGCAACCCGTGGATGTGTCTCTCTCACATCAGTGTTTCTCTGTGTCTCTCCTCCTCCCTTCTACTCTCTCTCTGAAAATCAGTGGGGAAATATCCTCGGGTGAGGATTAACAACAAAGATCCATTGTCTTGTAGTGAATTCCCGGAATTGTGCCGCCATCACCATCATCTAGTTTATGACGCTTTAACCCCCCCGCCTCCCCAATGTCTGTGCTGGTTAGTGGTCTCTGTCTATCCATTCTCCCCTCTCCTCAGCCCCCACAGCTGCTAATCTACTCTCTGTGCCTAGATCTGCCTGTTCTGGACGTTTCTCATAAATGGAATCATGCGCTATACAACCTTTTGTGTCGGCTTCTTAAACTTCGCATAACATTTCCAAGGTGTGTCCACGCTGTAGCATCTATCAGCGCTTCACTCCTGTTCGTTGCTGAGTAATATTCCACTGCAGGGCCGCGGGCACTTTATCCATTTATCACTGATGGGCATGGAGGGGGTGCCATTGCGCGGCGATTAGGAATAGAGCAGCAGTGACATGTGGACGCAAGTGTTTGTGAGGACGCGCGTTTTCCGCTCATCCCAGGGAGGGAGCTCCGGGCAGAAGCCCCCGGCCATCACGTCCCTGAGTGTAACCGCATAAGGAGCTGCTTTCCGCGAGGTGCGCCCTGTGCTTTCTCAGCAGCTGGGAGCGCTGGCTCTGCATTCCCGCATCTGCTAACGACACGTGTTACTTTGTGTGCATGTGTGTGGCTTTGGGAGTGTCAGCCCGCCTGGTGTGCGCAGTGCTATCTCACTGTGGCCTTGGTTGGTTTGGTTTGTTTTGTGTTGGAATCCTCACCCTGGCTCCGACAACTGGATATCGACATAAAAAAATAAAAGTGGGCCTTTTCCTCAGCTACACAAAGCATCTCTTCCACTCTCTCTAAAAAGTGGAAGAGCGAGGGAAAGGCAGAGAAACATTGATGTGAGAGAAACACACCGATGGGTTGCCTCCTGTAGGCACCCTGACCAGGGCCCCGGCTGGGGAGGAGCCTGCAACCGAGGTACCTGCGCTTGACCAGAATCGAACTCGGGACCCTTCGGTCCACAGGCCAATGCTCCAACCTCTGAGCAAACGGCCAGGGTAAAATGGTTCTGTTTTATGAACTCCACCCCAGTAAAAAGAACAGCCGAGAGGCCAACTAAGGCCACTCCTAGCCCGAGGGGGGAGCGCGGGCGTGGCCGGGCCGCTGGGCCTCCCTGGCTGCGCAGCTGAGGCGGCTCTCTCCTCTCCTAGCATCATCCTGCTCTACCACCTCATGGCCTGGGGCCTGGCCGTGCTGCTCGGCGCCGAGGGGCTGCTCATGCTCTATCACCCGTCCCTGTCCAGGTAAGGCGGCCCGGAAAGACGGCGCCACTTCCCCACCCGCTGCTCTGCGGCCCCCGCCGGCTCCTC